GAAAGCAAAAAATACGAATAATAGCGGAGCTCCACGCAGGCGCGAAGCGCGCGCGCGTGGGCGGAGCCCCATAGCTAAGTATCTACCCATCCCAGAAAATTTGGTTATCACGTGACCGTACACCGAACGAACGACCGACCGTCCGTCCGCACCACAGGCATACCAATGTTTACTGTCACACTTTCTAGCTAGTTTGGGAGCCCAGGAGAAAAGTGATTGCACATAAATGTTGTGATCAATTGACAGCTGTCAAAACAGGGTATCCGGTGACCAGTATCACCTGACCGTATCGCGGGCTCAGGTGTCGGCCCATCGAGGTCGAGTATTTCTTGAAGTTATCCGCTGACAAGTTACTAGTTTTCAAATGATTGCAAGCTCAAGTTTGTTTTTTTTTTTTTAATTTATATGAAATATGTCGTGTTTATGTCACTATGGCCTAGCACTATTAAGATTTTGATTTCAAACTTACCTCGGACACGAAAATTCAGCCAGTTATTTAAAAACACAGGCGGAGAAGACCTTTTGTTATCATGGACACGCGTTGGTCACGCTCTACGTCCAATTTTTATGCTCTGATTGGTCAAAATTTGACAGGTGAGTTCATGCGGAAAATTTATGCAGCATCTTGAAACTTGTTTACTTTGACCATGGATAATAGAAAGACTGGATAGGAAACTGGCTGACGCGATCGTTTCCAACATAGTGGAAAAATGTGACGTCACATTATCGAGAGCCATTCAACCTCATTCGACGTTTTGAGCGTCTTATGTTTCGTCGCATATTTCACTATCTCTGTCTTCGACTATACGTATTGGCCATGTTTTGAAGTAAAGGATGAAGAGGACTTGCTCTTGGAGAAGACAGTTAGAGGGTACAGAACCGGTAGAGGCGAAAGACAGAGTAAATGATTATGAAACTTGTGAGAGCGACGAATGACTCCAGCGCCCGATAATTTTATGCACCAAACGGGAAGCCTAACTACATAAAAAAGTATGCGAAAACTTACATGTATACAGCTACAAAACACCCATAAAAAAGGCACAGCCTAATTTTCTTCAAACCACAAGAAAACCGGAAATAATTTTAACCCTTCTCATTAGGGTTTTCACGATTTCTTCTCTCCTTTTATCGACAAGCTCAGTGAGTGTCAAATTTTATAAGTTAACAACCCTTGACAAAATGATTTTATTAGCGGTTAAAGTACCCAGCACAAACAAGCGTTTAATTTTCCCTTCAATTTTATTTACGGGCAACCAGTGACAAGAAATCGTATTTAAGAAATATAAAGAAGCGTGGAAAAGCTCACAGCAGAGAAAGGAAATTTGCTTGCGGACCACCGTGGAAACGCCGTTTCTAAACTTTTTCAAATCAATTTTCATTGTGAAGCAAGTTGTTTTGTCATTTTCAGGTATAAATGTTCAGTGACCCAAGGTAATTTTCAGTCAGGTCTTTGGAAAAGCGAACTGCAACGCTTTTAAAAATGTTATGTAAAACGGTTAATTGTTAACTACTAGAATACAACTGGGAAGCAAACTCTCCTGGTTAATAGTAGAACCTTCACTTCTTTTTCATTAGAAAACACTTGTCTTCCATAAGGCTTAATAAAACCGAGAAATGTATTATCTTTGAAATACTGACCTTTTTTTAGGATGAAACAAAGTTTAAGTTTTTGTGTAGTGTTAATGATATGGATGGGGAATACTGTAAATCACCTCTCATGACCTCTCAAATAAAGATAAACACTGTTCCCAAAGAAAAATAGAAGCTGCTTATATGTATGAAAAAAAAACCCAGTAACATCAGGGGTTATGGGGTTTTTGTTTAGTCTGAGATAAGTGGGTGAGGGATTGAAAAAATATAACTGTCTGGTCACACTATCATGTTGTTGAAAACAAAATGCATACCCCAAACAAGTACAGGTATATTTTTTATTAATTTGATTTAGAATATACCTTGGTAAGGTTTATCATCTACAGGTACATTGCTGCTTTGGATCTCTAAAAAACCGAATACAATAATAGTGCTAGTCAAGTCCATCTTTGGTTTGAAAAACAATGTGATTCAGATATAGACCGTTTCAGGGAAGAACACTAACCAACTTAAACACATGACTCTGTAGCTAATACAAGCATTGACCCTCAAACACAGTCTTTTTTTCCCACTCACAAATAAGTCATAAATACACTTCAGAAGTGATAAATAAAGTTTCTTATCATAAAAAATTTAGATGCCACCTTCTGGCTCTCATGCATGACAAAAGCAACTTTGTTGCTGTTCAATACAGAAAGAATGATTGATTTGTCCCCTCTCAGAAGAGTAGTTGACCACAATTTTACTGTCTTCATTGACTATGTGTGTTTGGCAAATCCTACAAGAAAGAAAAACAAAAAAAATGTAAAATACTGTTTAAAAAATAACAACAACACTTAGGAGCCTAAACGGAGGACAAAAATGTCAGTAGGTGTTTTCCCATTGATGCAACAATTATTTATAGTTTATGTAACGGAAAAGTACAAAATTTATTCGAGTCTCTTCAGTGCCTTCGAATACAAGCTGCGAGGAGCGACGTGAGGCGATTGTATTTACTGGATATGTGATATAGTAGTTTTATTTCAACAAAAACATTAAAAGATGAGCGAAATTAACATACTACTTTACGAACAATATAGCAGGGTTAATCTAAGATATTACTTGAGCGAAACAGTTCTCAACACAAACTTGTCGATCGATCGGAACTTTACACACCGTGTGCGTACCCTTGCTCGGCGCCAGCTCCGAACGTAGTCAGTTTCAGCCATTTTCAAATGAAATTTATGGCTGAAAAAAAAACAGCATTCAGTCTGTAACTATGCCTATGCCACAATTCCATTCTTAAAACATCTGTCAATCGTGGTTAAGAATACAAACAAGAAGAAACCTTCATAACAAAGGCGTCCCAAAACAGTCGCTAAGTGTACTAAATATGGCTCTGGTAAGGTCAATTTCTGGGACGCAACTTTCTCAAAGACAAGGACAAATAACACAAAACAACAACAAGAAGTGCTTACCTTGAAGGTTCAAGTGTGGCTTTCAAGGATCGCCATCGCCGTAAGACAACAAACGAAGGAAAAAACACCCACCAAAAATTAAAGTACCTCTAAAAAATCTGAAAAAGAACAACATGCAGGCAAAGAAACCCTACATTTCGACTGGTTTGCGCCACATTTTCGCCATCGTTTCGTCACAAATCTCCACTATGATGGAACCATCCAACGCCATCTTGGAGCACGAACCAACCAATCGGCGATAAGAAATCAGCCCACGTGACATAAGTTTCCTATCCAGTCTTTCTATTATCCATGCTTTGACAGCTGAAGCTGACAGAGTTTTGTGTCAACTTGTGATGTTTTT